CTATTTCTTTCTTCTGTATAATCCTCTTCCACTGCCAGGCACTGCTCATGGGAAAAAGCCCATGCCCTGTGAGGCTTAACTTCTGTGGCCTTGTGGAAAAGGATGGCCTTGGCCAGTTGTTTTTCTCTCTCAGGGAAGTCTGGATTTCATCTAGTGAGAGGATTGAGTTGGTCTAGTAGCTTGTGCACGGATTTCAGATCTGAGGCCATGCTGGCAGATGCAATTTCTTTTGGGAGACCATGGTAAATGGGTCACTAAGAGGCAGCTAGTTCTGAAATGGAGGAAAGAATGAGCCATATTAAGAAGAGACAAGCCACCAGGTGGTGGTGGAGCATGCCTTTAATCCCAGCATTCGGAAGGCATAGGCAGATGGATTTATAGGAGTTTGAGATCAGCCTGGTCTACAAAGAGTGTTCCAGGATGGGCTCCAAAGCTACAGAGAGAAGCCCTGTTTTGAAAAACACCACCGCCACCATCACCAATAACAAAAGAGAGGCCCCCGTGAGACAAATTACTTCAGCATTCAAGTTCCTTGGATTCCAGTTGTAGTTAATTTTTGTTGCCCGCTGTCTGATACTGTCATATTATTTCAAGTAATGCCCACTTTACCACCTCAGTCCTGCACCCAACTGCCCTGTGCTACCTTTGCATGTCAGTTAGTCTCAGATGGTGTATCTTTCCTATGTCTCAAGTCTTCTCCAAGTTTTCAAAGATAAAATAAATAGAAATCTGCTTAATTAAAACAGAAATGTGATATTGAGTATGAGAGAAACTTGTAGAAGTTTTACTTCTTCAGAGTCAGTCTTATCTGGAACAAAACAGTGTCCAAATGACTGTTCAAAGTCAAGACCCTCAGTTTGGCAACAGGTGGTCAGCTGAAAACATGGAGGGTTAGTTGTCATGGAATCTTCCTTACCAATCTCATTGATAAGTGAAACTCAACCCCTTCAACTATATGAGCTTAGTCAGTTCTTATAATGGCCGCAAGGTGGCACTGTTAGCACCTCTCTTTCATAAATGAAGAGTGTATGCATGCAGAGGTCAAGTGATTTGTCCAAGCTCCTTTCACTATGTTGTCTGAATATGGAGCTCTGCCGTATGAACATGGCGCTCTGCTGTCTGAACATGGCGCTCAGCCGTATGAACATGGCGCTCTGCCATATGAACATGGCGCTCTGTTGTCTAAATATGGTGCTCTGCTTTTAGGCTCACATTCCAGCTGGGGATACAACACCATGGCAAAAGGCTTGCCTAGTGTTCACAAAAACCTTAGTTCAATCTTTCCCTATTAACACACACACACACACACACACACACACACACACACCACTACCATTCACAGAAAAGTTGTAAAAGTTTCATTACACCATCAAGTAAACTGTATAAAGCTGAAGCAAAAAAAGTGTTCCATCCCAGGATATTCCATATAAATTATGCAACAGAGCATGAATATCTAAACACGTAAAATGTATTTAATGCCAACTCATGATTATCATGTTGCTCAAATTAAAATTGATTGGTTACCATTAAAGAGTCATCATAAAAAGATAATAAAAGGATCTGATATTATGACTAGGTCTGAGTAGGTAGAAGTTGAGGCTAGTGAGAAGTCACATTTTCCTAGTTCAGGCACATTTGTAAACAAGAGAAATGATGTGGTGTAGCAGAGGAAAACTCAGACTTGGTGTGGGGCTGAATATTGTCTATTTCATTTGACAACACCAAGGCTCTCTTGATATGAAATTTCATGTGCGCAATAGGAATAAAATTGCTCCTCCCTTGGGCTTAGTACTAGAATTAAGCATAAGTGTGTGGTATCTAGTATATGGTATAGATTCATTAAAAGAAGCTCATATGCAAGACAAGCCAAAGAAAAGAGTTTGTTAGGAGGAGCTGGAAGCTTACTAATACCAAGGTCAGGAGATGTACTACATCAGTTTGGATATCACAGTCACAATACGGAAAATGTGGGCTTATGTTGGCCAAGAGATGGGTTTGGAATACTTTTTTTTTATTGAGAGAGAAGAGGAAAGTTTTATTTATATTGGGGGAATTATATTGCTTTTCCATTGCTACCAGAATCAACCATCACTGACTCAACCGCTTAAACCATAACAAATCTGTCACCTCAGATCTTTATCAACAGGAATCAAGGTATCTATCTGCAGGGCTGTGTTGCTTTCTTAACTACTATGATGCGGGCTCTGTCTCGGCTCATGTGTGCAGTTGACAATTGGTACTGATGGCCTCCTGTTCTTGCTGGCTTATATTCTGAAGGCTGCTTTCACTTGCTTTTATTGGCTTGAGGCTGTCTTTATTCATCTTCAAAGCCACTGGTGGCAAACGAGTCTCTCTTAATATACCACAGTCTCCACCTCTTCCTTACTCTTACATCTTCTGATCATTATTTTGCTGCCATACTCTTCTACTTCTAAGGACTTCTGTGTTATATGGAGTTCGCCCATCTGAACTAGGTGGTCTAGATACACCTCCTCATGTCAAGGTCTTTATCTCAATTGCATGTGCATAATAGCCTCCTTTGTCTCTGTAAGGTAACATATTTATTTATTCCATAACTACCTTCAGGAAGAGGAGTTATTCTACTATGGTTACAAGCCAGTGTGTTCCCCAAACATGGAGTTCTTATGCATGACTCATGTTACTTTCCTTCTTTCCACATGAGTGAGCCATGATTAGAAGGACGCAGACAGGTCGACAATAGCCTGGGGCATAACACAGTTCCTGCTTACCCTGCTTTCCTCTCCCCGGGGTCTCCATCCTCTTCTGATGAAGTATGCGAATTTTCTTTTCCCAGGAATACCTGTTTTAAGAGAGTGACTGTTTAAACACTGTCCAGACAGCACAGAAAAATCAAGCTCTGACCCACATAAGAAGCCCGGATAGCTAAATCACAACCTCTGGGTTAGCTAGCAACTTCCCCTTTCTCTAGGTTTTGTTCCCATCGTGGGTCTGCATTCAATTAAAGCCAACCAAAGAGAGCTAAATGTATTCCCCAAATCAACCACACAAGGCACTCACTTCTACTTAGCCTTCTTCCAGTTGCCTGTGCTAGCAGCTCCAGTTGGAGCATGCTTGAAGACTCTTGCTCTTTCTTTTCCCTTTTCCTAGCTGCCTTTGGGTACTTACCAAATTGGAGTGATAGTGGTTGACATACTTTTCTACAGCCGATTGAGGACATTGCCTCTTGATGGTCATCGTGTCTGTATCTCCTTGGGTGTTTTGAACATTTGGTTCTTCTTGTGCTCTTTAAGGAACATTTTGTTCTTATTGTCTTATTAATCACTTATGTTCATCTAGCAGTAACAACAATATTAATTAGAAGAATGAGAGCTAACCTGTACTGAGCCCTAATTATGTGTTAAGAAATGATCTTATCACTTTCAGTTATCAACTGATGAAACCCTCCCACAATACTTTACTGAAGAAGGTTTCTAGTGTTATGCACGTTTTATAGTTGAGCAAAGAGAATTCAGGGAGATGTAAGGGCTCAAGACCATGGGCCTAGTAGGTGACAGAGTGGCGGAGGAATTTAAACAGGCTGGCACCAGAGTTCAGTCTTGAATCCATTTCAGCATCTTGTTTTCAGAGCATGCTTGTGGATACTCCAAGTTTAGGATAGGTATGGCTTATCTCACCTTAAAATGCTAAACATTGTCTGCACTCCTCAGCTCTACCATCTTTACCTGTTTAGGAGTGTATCTGTATTATCTGTAGAGGTCTTAGGTAAGCTCCCAGAGGAAGAAGGTCATGCTTACCTTCCTAAGTTTTTATGACCAGCTTATTGTTTTTATACCAATATGCATATACACAATGAACAAGGGGATGACTGAATGGGTTAAACAGTTCGGAAGTCTGCTTCTATATTTACTAAATTAAAAAAAAGAAAAGAAAGAGATCTTCCTTGTCAATAACCCCCCAATGCAGTTCTACGTATGATTTTACACCATTTCTCTTGAAACCTTTTAACCCAGGACAGTTTTTCTCCTCTAAGTGTCTGCTTCTTTCATTATTTTAAGCATGAAACAAGGCACAATATTACCACCCCTGTCTCCTTAGATAGTCACTTTCAAGGTAAGAGTCATTGTGTGACGCTAGTGCCAATATCTTCTTGGCCTTGGTTTCTGAGGCAGAGCCTCTTCAACTTAATAGCGTTCTTCTGAACTCTACAACAATTTGGCCTGCACTCAATGGTCTCATGCCAGCCTGAAAGAATCAACCAAGAGGAAGGGCTTACTTGGTATTTCTGTAGATTATCAAAATTGTAGACTGAACTTAACCAAGGAGGCACACTCTTGGTATCTTTTATCCACATTCTGGGATACCTGTGGAACTTTTGGGTCTCCTAAAAAAGTGCTATCATTATGTTGCTGAGACTGTCTACAATGTATTTGGCTTAAATAGTTCAAAGTATTTGGGACCACAGACATGTTCTGCGGTACCTGTCTCAGGTACTAAACCTTAGTGTTTCCTCAGTGAATCTCTTCCCCCAGACTTGTAAGACAGTTAGGATTGGCAAAGAACTGAGGCAGTCATTTGATTTGCTGTCTTTATTTACTTTTAAATATGACTTGAGATCCACTAATTGAACAGATTTTCATTATTCACTGAACTTTTGATATGATTTCAGGATTTGGAAATTTAGAGATGAATTGGAATGCCAACCTCACACAGACCTTTTGTTCTTATGGAATTTATTTCAATAAATACAGAAAAGCATAATGTTATGTGATGACAGCTTCCTCAGATCTATATGTTTTGAAGCAGTTAACTTTCCACCCTGCCACCCTATCTCACCATTACTTCATGATTACCCTGTCTTCTCTGTCTTTCTCCGTGCTTGTTCCCAATCCTTCATTGATCAAATTAAATGCATAATATACCTTATTTTAAATAAGACTCATCCTAATATCTGTTCCCATAAAACATGTTGGCATCATACTGAAAAATAATTTCTTGTTTCTTACATTTTCTCCTCCCAGGAATCGACTACTACAACAAGATCATAGACGATTTGTTAAGGAATGGTGTGACACCCATAGTGGCCCTCTATCACTTTGATTTGCCTCAGGCTTTAGAAGATCAAGGAGGCTGGTTGTCAGAAGCAATTGTTGAAGCTTTTGACAAATATGCGCAGCTTTGCTTCAGGACCTTCGGAGACCGAGTGAAGCAATGGCTTACCATAAATGAGCCGAATACTCTTGCTATTTTGGCTTATGACATGGGTATGTTTGCTCCTGGTGTGCCTCACGTTGGGATTGGAGGTTACCAAGCAGCTCACAATTTGATTAAGGCTCACGCCAGAGCCTGGCATAGCTATGACTCTTTATTCCGAAAAGATCAGAAGGGTTTTGTGTCCTTATCATTATTTTTTTGCTGGTTAGAGCCAGCAGATCCTAACTCAGTGCTTGACCAGGAAGCTACGAGAAGGGCCATCAATTTCCAGTTGGATTTCTTTGCGAAGCCCATATTCCTTGATGGCGATTATCCTGAACTTGTCAAGTCCCAGATTGCCTCCATGAGTAAAAAGCAAGGCTATTCATCATCAAGGCTTCCGGAATTCACAGAAGAAGAGAAGAAAATGATCAAAGGCACTGCTGATTTCTTCGCTGTTCAATATTATACAACTCGCTTAGTCAGGCACCAGGAGAATAAGAAGGGAGAGCTCGGCTTCCTTCAGGATGTGGAGGTTGAATTGGTTCCCAATGCATCTTGGGAAAATGTGGGTTGGATCTACGTGGTGCCATGGGGAATACGTAAGCTCCTGAAATATATTAAGGTAAATGATTTCTTTGTTTCTATGTGTACCCAAGTACAGAAGGACTCTGGGAAGTCATATGTATTCATGAACACCACAAAGAATGGTTTTAGGTGTCAGTATGCCCATTTGCTGACTGGGAAGAGGAGGGCAAGATTTGAGTTCTTTAGTTTAACTAGCTGTTGTTAAATTTTGTTGTGTCTATATGAGTAGCTTGGGCATATTTTTCAAGCTGGTGTCACCGCTGTGGTTCAAACAGGCATTTTAAGGAAAGAGAACTGAATGCTTTCTGAGTCTCCTCTATGCTGGTAACTGAAATGACAATTTGAAGGTACCAGTTTTCTGGACCCCTCCTGTGGGTGATAGAAAATGTACCTGCCAGCGGGACCAAGGGGTTAAGGAGCAGTGACAATCAGCAGATGCTGATGGGAAGAAGGATATTTCTGTCTTCTCATTATGTGAAGAGTCATTTGACTGTCTTCATGGACATTTGCACAGTTTTGCTTTTCCATTGTTAGTCATAAAAGGTCAGTGTGTGGAAAATTAAGTTAATAGGGTCAGTGCAATTTGATGAAAACTAGTTTTGGGGTTGCAGCTTCCAGAAGATAGAGGGTAATGCACCTGATTTTATGAGCTTTCTTTTCTTTTCTTTTCTTTTTTTTTAAACATCTGTTTGGAATGAAACTTCTGCTCTCTTGTTCTAGGATACATATAATAACCCTGTAATTTACATCACCGAGAATGGGTTTCCCCAGTGTGACCCGCCATCTCTTGATGACACTCAGCGTTGGGAGTATTTCAGACAGACATTTCAGGAACTATTCAAAGGTACCATTTGAAATGATGAAAGATCAATTGTGCAAACTTAATATAATTTCCCCATGTGCTTATTTGCATTCAGCAAAGACCATTGATTTTGAAAGCTGAAATTCATGTAAATTAGTTTAAAGCCATGTAATTAGGAGAGGGGAGAGCAGGTATTTAGAAAAGAGAAAAGTGAGGATTAGGCCCAGCTTCCACTCTCCTGAAATCGAATCAAGGAAAAAGCAACTATCTTCAGCATTTCCTGAATTGTAGGTGACGGTAACAAGAATAGAATGGTAGAAAACCTTTAGATGCACTTCTCAGCTTCAGCATACTCATTTGCATATTTTGATATCCTAACTGTCAAAATTGAGTTGATAGGATTTACAAGGATCTCATTCTAGCATCTGAGATACAACTAAGTGGCCTGGTTAGAAACAAAAATGTGTAAACAAGATGATGACGATGCTGCTGCTGATGGTGGTGATGATGATGATATCTTCAATTTTCCAAGGCAGTTAATTTAATATCTGATAACAAATTATAAGTCATAATTATTAATTGATAACAAGCATTACTAATTAGTCTGTCGCCTTGTCTTCCCTCCTTCGGCTTTTCTTGGAATATTGTTGTTTAGAACATTGTCGCTGCCTCAGTTTCATTTCTTCTTCCTGCAAAGGAATCAGAGATGGAAGCAGCACACAATGAGGCTGCAATTGACTCTTTCCAATCATAACACTCATATTTATTTACTATCATTATATCGAAAAGTCCAGGAATCAGACTTTACAAAATTGCTCAGGAGACACCCCAAAGGGAATCTAGAATTCAAAGGGGGTCTCTTTCTAAAGCCTGACATTTGTGGAGTGAGGTCTGGAGTTTATTGGCAGACAGCAATCAGATTCCTACAATCTAACCGAAGCGAAAGGTATCTTTGAAAATGATGTTCCAAATGTGTTCTTTTTTGAGGGAGAATTCACTTCTGAAAATGAAGGGAAATTTCTGCTTCTCCCGGATTCTGCTCTACTCATCTCTGTGAAACAATCTGGTATATTGTTAACCTGCTGATGTTCTAAGTTTTCATCCTGAAGGAGACGTAGGCTGTCAGGTAGATTCAGAGGTGGCTTATTAGTTACTGTCATGTTGCTGTAACAAAAGTACCAGAAAAAAAAGAACTTTGAAAAGGGAGCATTAGTTATAGTTTATGGTTTCAAGGGATTCAGTCCATGTTTATTTGATCTTGTGTACTTGAGACAGACGTCTTGTCAAAGGAGTTGTGTGGATGAGGAGAGTTCTTCACTCCATGACTAATCAGAAATCAGAGAAAGGGGATGAAGGTGCACTCTGATTTTTGACTTTTTTTTCCCGAATGTTATTTCATACAGTCCCTGGCCTATGGGGTGGTCCCCCCATTTAGGGTGCATCTTCTCTCTTAAATGAACCCTAGAATAATTTCCTCACAGGCATACCCAGAGGTGTGCCTCAGTTGCCTCTTTGAGTCTAAAGAAGTCAAGTTAACAATGAAGATTTTCCATTACAGAAGATGGATGCAGGAAACCAGGATGACTTGTTTAAAATTAGTATGTGCACACTTGAGAAAAGAGACAAAAATAGAAATTAACCTTTTCTATTTTCAATTTGGTATTCTGTTTATTGCTAACTATAGAAAGGTGTCTTTGTTGGTTTTTGAAATAATTTTAAGTGCTTGCTACAATCCCTGAGATTTCTCAAGCTAAACACTCAGTGGTAGACCCATAAATGCAGTCATTTAGAGATGTGGGCTGTAACAGAATGTGAGACCAGAAATTGTGTGTTAATTTGTGTTTCTAAGGGGCAGGAAAACAGAAACAGAACTGACAAGCAAAATCCTATTCCGGAGCATGTTGGCTTCCTATTGTGTCTTTAGATTATTGGGTGGAAAACGAACAGGATGCATGCAAATGATGCTGCCTCAATGGAAGATATTTATACTTTGTAATGGAGAGAATGATATTCCTGAAATGTTGAATTTTAAGCTTTCCTGGGTGGGTGCTACAAGGTACCATGCTCTGTTATACCAGGTCGGAAATAAGCACCATATCTCTTGATGAGTGCCTGTCACAATGCAGAACAATCAAGACTGGCACACAACATTGCTTAGCTGGTAGCAAGGCGGTTAGGGCTGGCACAAACATTTTAAACTTAATGAGGATTTACTGAGACATATCCCCATGGTATGTTGACTAGCAATTGTATTATATATTTAAAATATCATTTACTTATTTTTGGTAAGTTTCATCTTCCTCCCCTTACAACATACTATGCATTTTCACTGTGACTAAATCATACGGATGTTTTTGTTTTCTCATTTGTTGTATTTTTGAGACGAGTTCTCATGTATCTCGGGCTAGCTTTAAACTCACTGCTAGTCAAAGCTGGTCTTGAACTCCTGAAACTTTCCCACCATTCCAGGTACACAATACCATCTTTGTTTAGGCTTTAAAAAGATATGAACCTTTCAAATGTTCAGATATTTACATATTGGCAAAATACCCATGTTAATATCAATTTGTTCGGAACAAATTCCAAACATGAGCGTCTTTACTTTGAGACGGGTATTACTGAGATATTTTTAAATATATTTCTATAGGAGATGTTAGTAATTTGTTCTGCGAACAACTTGCTTTGCAACTGCTCTGAGCACAAGACCCTCAGGAGTTCCTGATGGCAGGGAATGGTTTCTGGTGGGCTTGCAGCTGAGAGTTAGGGCGTGGTTGCTAGTCAAGGAGACCCTATATAAGCTGCCCTGGAACACAATAAAGTGGGCATTCTTGACCTCTCTCTCTCTCTCTCTCCCTCCCTCCTCCTCTGTCCATCCCCTCCATGTGTATGTGTGTGTTTCAATCTCCAACCCCTTGCCTGACTCCTGAACTGTATCATAGCGCATAGCTCGTAGAGCAGGCGTTGCGCTACAGCTAAAAACTTTCTTAACGCCATTTTGATGGGAACAAAAGCAGTTTTATTGATGCCGTTTCTCACTTCAATCCCAAACAGTGATTTGGGTAATTACGATGAGGAAACCAATTTTCAAAGAGACCAAGTCACTTGCTCATGTCAAAAAGCTACTAAGTAACTTTTCCTGTGACAGGGAAGAATGTGTTATTAATATCATTGATATTTTGTATTATCTATGACCTGTGAGTTGAGGATTTTCTAAGGCACAGTGATTTCCCTCCCCACCCCCATCCCAGAACAAAGCCTTTTCCTTAAGTGTTCTGTTCAGACCTAACCTAGGCTGTCTGCAGTTGTTCTCCTGGTCTCTGAGAGGGTCAGTTGGTTCTGTCATGTTGGGGAAAATCTCAGGCCCATGTGTCTGGCTTCTCACCAGCTGTAGCTACTGGTGGCTTCTCAGAGACTCCTTGGAGGCAGTGCTGATAATCTTGGTTGGCAGGAACTTTCCTAGTAACAGGCATCGTGTGAGCAATTAAAAATAATAACAGTTCAAGGAAGACATTTGTGGAAAACCCTACAGGTAAGAGCCCCTCAGGAACCCAGGGAGTCAGACGGATGATAGTTCTGAGATTCCTGTGAACAAGGCCTTCCCCACTCCACACCATGCATATGGACAGGCACATAATGACACTAGAGTTGGATCGATGATGTCCGCCTGCAGGGTTTTCAGAGCTCCCCAGGTAAAATCCCACAGCAATTTATTGAGCACTAAATGTAAGCTAATGTTTCTGGCTCATTTTGGGAAGGAGAGAAAAAAGGGAGGAAATGGGGGGGGGCTACTTTTGCTAGTACCTTTTATTAGTGCATTGCTTTATTCTATTTAAACATCTTTCAATAGAACGTATTTTAATAGTCGTAGATACAGATAACAGTAAAGCTGTACCCCTAAACCTGACAAAGCAAGGCTGACATTTTAGATCTGCAAGTTGCTCAGTGTGGGGTCTTTGACAAATAGCTTAACCTGTTGGTCCCTGATTTGTTTGGGGTAAGTGTGGGAATAATGGTTTCAGTTTCAGAGCTGTTACAAAGATTCCATCTCATCGGACAGTTTACAGCTTAAAACTCTCTAGTCAATTGTCAGACACATTGGAGGGCCTTTACCAGTGGTAGTTATTGTTACGAAATGTACATTTTGTACTTAAGATAGTCTTATCACAGGTTAATTTCTTGCCGTTTAAAGCTTCTCCTGTACGACTGCATAAACATGACTGAACAAAGACAACAGACATGCCAAGGTGAGAGAGAGGAAACTCGTAAGGCTTCGACCACAGTCAACTAGGGAATAATCTTCTCCTAGAAAGAGCACATAAACTGGTCATTCAACGCCAAATGATCAGCCCTGAAAACCTACATACAAGTAACATTATATAGATGGAACAAGCCGTGCTTATGTAATTAATATATAATCTCAAACATTAATGAAAAAAGAGGCCATGAATCTGAAAGAGAACAAAGTTGGGTTTCTTTAGAAGGGAGAAAAGGAAGGGGAGGGGGGAATGATTTCTACTATAATCTCAAAACTAAAAGTGCTAGTAGGAAAGGAACATTATGTGGCCTTGGGGATGGCTCAGTTGGCAGAGGTACCTGCAGCCAAGACTGAAGACCTGAGTTCAAACTCCTGCAGGCCCTTGGTGGAAGGAGAGAACTGACTTCCACAATTTGTCCCCTGATCTCCCCTCCTTCTCATAATAAATAGAATAATAACTTTTTTAAATGAGAAATACCATCGGAGGACTTACTGTTTCCTCTTCCTATCCTTCTTTTGACATTGTAGCCGTCGAGTCTGTCATGACTGCATTCTTTACTACTGTCTGAAGCATCAATCATTTGTCTATTTCCTTCTAGAAATGGGTGGAAAGGCAAATATCCTCCGATTATTTCCTTGTGAGGAGGCACAAAATTAGGCGCAAAACCAAATTGCTGGCAAAAAAATTACTTATATGGGTTTTTGTATGTTTGGAGTTCAGTGACCTATGAAAGCTGTGTTTCATACAACTTATTTGTCTTTATTCATAAGCTTAGCAACAGTGGTG